GGGGCGGGGGCCTCGGGCTGCCCCTCTGGCCAGTCCTGCGTCTGAGCTGCAGCGGCCGCTGGCTCCCTCTCCTCCTCCTCCTCTTTCTCCTCTCGCTCCTTCTCGGCCTCTTCCTCCCAAGCTGGATTAGCCTCTGGGCCGTCTCCGAAGAATTGGCGCCTGAGGTCCTCAAAGCCGTCGCTCCAGCCACGCCGGCCGGCCTCGACCTCCTCGAGCACCACGCGGTGGAAGAGGCGGATGAGCTCCCACGGGTGGCTGCCCAGCCGGTCGAACATCTCGTAACACAGCAGGTGGCGGAATTTGCGCTCTTCGCGGCTCAGGCCCATCTCGAGCAGCTGGAAGTAGCCCAGCATGAAGAGGTCGAGCGTGAGACTGTCGTAGCGCCGGGGCGCGCCGCCGTCCAGGGGAGGTAGGAAGTGCTCAGGCCAGTACAGGCCGTGCGCCAGGCCCGGGCCGCGGGGCTGGTGCGCGGGCACCTGCCGCAGCAGGCTCCGCCAGTGGCCCAGCAGCTTACCCACCACCTGCCGCTGCTTCAGCAGGCGGAGCAGCCGCTCGTCGGGACCGTCACCCTCTAGCGGCTGGGGAACGTCTGTCGCCTCTGGGAACTCAGGGGCAGGCCCGGCGCCCGCGGCCACCACGCGGGGCAGTAGTCTGCGCAGGCGCGCCTGAGCCCTGCGCCCGGGGCCGCGGAAAGTCCACTTGCGCCAGTGCTCCAGGAAGAGGTAGACGATGCGCTCCTTGCGCATGTCAATGTAGTCCTGGACGCCGAGCAGCTCCGTGGGGAAAGGCGGCCTGCGCGCCAGCTGCTCCGGCTCGGGTAGCGCCGCCTGGCGGCCTGGCGCCTCGGTCGCGCCCAGGGCGCCTAGAGGCTCCCCTGCGAGACACGGGCCGTTGGTGGCGGTGGCGGTCGGCTCACCGGGGCCAGCCTCCACATAGTCCTCCTCGAGGATGGGCGCACGGCCTGGGGCGCCGGCGGGAAGCGAGAGCTTGCGGCGCGGGCCGGGCGGGGGCGCGGAGCCCTGGGCGCGCAGCTCGTAGGCGGCGCGGAGGTGCTGCACCGAGACGCCACATTCGAGGATCTCGCGCGCCACGGCCTCACGGCACCAGCTGAGCGAGTGAGAGCGGCCCAGGCAGAGCGGACCCGGACGCCAGGGCGCGTCGGGCAGCGGCGCCAGCGGCTGGCCGGTGTCGGCAGCCAGCAGCTCGGCCAGGTGCGCAGGCCGGCCGCCCAGAGTGGCCAGCAGCGTGGCCATGCTCTTGAGCAGCGTGGAGATCTTACTGCACCAGGCGGGCAGGCTGGCGGCGCGGCCGTGCATGCGGCGTGGGTCGACGGTGAAGCGCGGGGCCGACAGAGCAGCGGAGATGGGCAGCAGCTGCTCCAGCTCCAGCTCCAGCTGCTCCAGGCGCGCCTCCAGCTTCTGTGCTTTGTGCAGCACCTGTAGGTTCTCAATTTGCTGCTCGATGCGGAGGAT